ACTCCACCTACTCAACACACTCAAACTTCCGACGATGGCGCAAGAGTGGCAATTTCTCGCTGCCCACCTCGATGCACCTGTCTGGTCAAGGCGACTTCAATCTCAAGACAGGCAATTGGGCTGACGAAAGAGCAGAGGTTCGTGTGAGCGGTTGCCTGTACCGTCGTAGTGCAGAATAATAAAAGGAAGACAGTTGAGGCACATTGCGCATCCTCGTTCACATGGTGGCTCGCTCATCACCTCACACTGTGGCGGGCAAGTCCGACCACCTCCGTCTGCCATTGATCGCGCATTAACGACGTTGGAGGTGGCGTAGATGGCGATGAGCACTGTCGCTCTCAAATAGTGCTTGCATAGCCTTCCAGCTTTCTGACATTCTTTGCACTGCACGCCTTCACACATAACAGTGACACTGTAGTGTTTTTTTTTATTTTTTGGTTTTACTTTGATCAGAGTGGTTTATCACGTCATACGTGGTGGTTGTAATGCCACGACCCTTTGTAAAGTTTGATTGATGTGCCCTCGCCGTGGGTGCGAAAACACATTCAGAGGGTAGTAAGATAATGGGGAATGGGAGGGGTGCGGATGGTGAGAGGGAAGGGTATAGAGGGGGTAGGGTGGCGGTGGTTAAGGGCAGGATTCTGAGGAAGGAATGTTGAAGTTGGGGCTAGGCGAATGAAACAAGACACATTGATGTATCCACGACAGATTTTGTGTTGTTCCCTACGAAGTAGTTGTGCTGTTCTTCAGCTGTATCTCGGCGACGCAGTTCAACGTGGCACCACGTGATTTCGAAAGACATCCCTCGGCTTTGTTTGGTACGCTAACACTCCACCTCTTGATGTCAACTTGCGACAGTGAGAGGTGACGGCGAGTCTGGTTGATGCGACACTTCAACAAATGCTCCACACCCCATTTGCCTTAAATTGCACATGAAGGCGTGTAAACAATGAATGCAGGTGTAGTGGGGGAAGGACAGATGTGATGGAGGCGATGAAAACATGTTGCAACTGAGTGATACTGGACCACTGCCAACGGTGATGATCATCCCTCAGTACCATGAAAATGAGTGGCCCTGTGAGTTGGATTGCACTCACTGAACAAATGGAAAGACTTTTCTTGCTCAAAATGGTAAATGACCTTAGGTGATAGCATTGGATACCTCCATTTTGAATTACTTACCGACAGCGACTATTCAACCGTTATGCTTACATGCTGAGACACGTGGAGGGAGGTGGTGGAAGGTCTTTGGACTGACTGTGGGGGAGATCTCGCACAAACATTTTTATGCCAACTTTACGGAAGGGAGGCTAAACAGAACTGCCGCTTTCACCCACCACATTGCCTGCACCCCGTCGCCAAGTCGTGGACGCAGCCCATTTCACCCCAACTGAAATCGCCACCTCTGATAGGCTGCCACACGAAACAGAATGACTTTCCACTTAACTGGCATAAAAACAAACACGCCTCTGTCGCTCTCTTTACCCCTCAAATTCCATCATAGGATGGCCTAGAGATGGCAGGCTGTGGCATCCAATGATTCATTCATCACATTAAAAGTCTGCACACACAAGCACACATCCAAATGGGATGTGGAGGAATGCGAATCAAATCTCGTTGTTACGCATCCCTGTGCCACAGTTTTTTTCGTCCAGACGTCATTGCGACCCGATTTTGATTTAGCAAGGCTATGCATGGCTAAATGTAGTCAAGACAATGGGGTAAGCGGCCTC